GCAAAACATTTAGATATTTTCTGAGGCACCTATTGTTAATTACTTCAAATGGTAAGAAAACGTCAACGAACTGTTAATGGTTCTGCAGAGAAACCGCTGTTTTACCGCTAACCAACTACTACTTTTTAAACTCACTGTGCAAAGTGACATTTCATTCCTGTTCTGTGCGTTTGCAAATTTCCCCCTTGGAACAAATTTGGAAGAATCTGTCAAAAAGCATCTTCTCAACCTAGCTGTGTCGCGTTTTTTGATAGTGTGTAAGTTTTAGTGTGATTCAGGGTGACCCTGGGAATCAAGGTGGAAGCGCTGCCAGTCTCTCCCAAGCAAAGGAAGGGAAATTCTGTACTGTGGCTGAAAAGAGCGCGCTGGGTGGAAAGGAATCCCTCACTTCCTAGGCGGTGTTAGAGGACTTCATAAACCCGGCGAAGCCCGCTTTGGCTAAGGATCCCTGGTACCCTCGGTCGAGCCCCGCGCCGCCCGCCACCCATCCGTTTTAGTTCCTCAGGGAGGGGCGGGCGGTGGTTCTCCTTTCTGGTTTTCCAGGGAGCCCCGCGCCGCGCTTTCCCAGCCCGCGCAGGTCGGAGAAGCGCACATGCTCGGGCCGACCTAGACGTTTTCCTTGCTATTCCGGTCGTCGGGCTTCGAACTCGGAATTTGTCAGTTGAAATTCAGCTAAGCAGCGCCCGCGGTGCTGCCCTTGAAAACTAAGCTCGGTGCGCGTGTTGCCTTTCCCGCTTTTCCTTTCTTGGGACTTGGCCCCCTTCGCGAAGATCCCGCAGAGGTCGCAAGCCGCAGCCCTTCAGGGGGTTCAGGGTTTTAGGCAGACGAGCCGAGCCCCTGAGCAGCCTCCTCTGCCTTTCCCGAGGGGCTGACGGCCCGAGCCCGCTCTTTCCCCCCGCCAGAGCCACTTTTGTCCATGCTACATTATCACGCTCCGTCCCTGTCCCCGGAGGCCCACGGTGCGCTTGGCGGTGGCCCCAGGAACCTCCCGTCTGCTTTTAGGGAGCGCATTCGACTCCACGAGCAAAGGGTCCACCGGCCCCAGCCTCCTCTGCCTTTCCCGAGGGGCTGACGGCCCGAGCCCGCTCTTTCCCCCCGCCAGAGCCACTTTTGTCCATGCTACATTATCACGCTCCGTCCCTGTCCCCGGAGGCCCACGGTGCGCTTGGCGGTGGCCCCAGGAACCTCCCGTCTGCTTTTAGGGAGCGCATTCGACTCCACGAGCAAAGGGTCCACCGGCCCCCCGAGCGGTGTCGTCCGAGCCCCGACGCGCGGCAGCCGCTGCCCGGGGCCGGAAAGCGGCGCTTTGGGGAGCAACGACCACGCGACATTCGGCATCCCCCGTCACAGTGGAGCGTCAGAAAGCGGACGCTTGGGGTTTCACGCCTGAAATGTGGGCTTCTTCGAAAATTATTTTAAAAGGAAAGCACGGAGACCCCCAGATCCAATAAAAGAAAATGCAGTTCGGTGTGGCAGCGTCGCGGGCTTCGGGGCGCAGGAGGAAAGTGCGCGGCCCCCTCGAGAGGAGCGCGGAGGGCTGCAAGGCC